ATCTTTTTTTTTTCACTGCTTATGTTTGTCTGTTTTTTTTTTTTATTATGATGTTTTGTAATCTGCTGTATTTGTTTGTATTATTGTACTGCAGTATGTCAGTTCACATGTTGCTGCTTTCAGTATGATTTTGTCCTTGAGACTATGCTTTGTTTTGCTCATACACAAGCACTGCTTTTCGTGATAAAGATAAATTTAAGGTGTAACTTCAAAATGGATGTAAGTATATCCGCTATCACCGTATTTACTCTTATAATTGTTGTTTGTTGACACTTCATGCCAGCGTTTAATGAGTACTGCTGTTGCAACTTTTTATGAGTGTTTAGTTGAAATGTTATTGTGAGCCACTTTTTATAAAAGATGTATTAGTAAGTACTTGCTTTTGTTATGTTCTGTTGTAATTAAAAGTGTAACATTGATTGCCTCATATTAATAAAGAGTTAGCTGCCAGTTTTATAGCCTTGATGTTCTCTATAATGTCACTATTACTTTGCTTAAGCATAATATTTACTGAATTTTCTGTCCTTATCATGCACTTCCACTTACTCCTTGTACTGATTTGAAGCTGTTACCCATATTGTATCTGTAGTGAACTTGCTAGTAATGGGTGTAATATTCCTGTTGCAACTGTCATTCACAAACTGAATTTTCTCTGGAGGTTTTCTGGGTTTGTAAACCATCATCATTCTTTAATTAGGGTTACTGCTGTTGCTGTTCATTGTAATGTCAGAATTTACTGTCTTACTTGCTATTAATTATTCAAATTAACTACAGATCTTAGAGTAGTTACATAACCTGTCACTAAAACTCCTTGGATATCAGATGCTGTATTTTAGAGTAGCATGCATCATTTTATTAATCTCTTGCTTTTGTTCAGATACAGTCACTGAGTTGAGTTCAGAGCAGATTTGTTTTTACTATTTGGCAAATTTTATTCTCATTTCAAGGCACTTTGTTATTGTAGTAATTTTGTTTATTTGATTTGTCTCAGCCTTCCTCTCATTTCCATAATTGTGTTCAAATTACTTAGAAAACAACAACAAAGAAACTGAAAAGCAATTTGACTAGAAAGAGAAAATGGAAGGGAATGGTCATCTTCATTTTCATTGTAGTTTTAAGCATATAGGCTTTCCAAAAGTCAATAAATAGAACGGTAAGCTATTCTGATCCTAAACTTTAGGCATTACATATCTTAGAAATGTGACTTACAAATCCTGAACTGTGCTTCCACAGGTGAAGCGGGAGTTGGAGAACTCGCTATCTGCGTCTCCCTCACCGGCCAATTACACAAGCCTCTACGACAAAGAGAACTACCCCAGCCGTCGCTCACAAGCTCTACATAGTAAGGGCGCTGCCGTCACTGGCAAACTAGAAGTAAGGTTAGTATGACAATCCATCAATCTCTATTTTGAGTGGTGATATGATTGAATTTAATCTTCTTAGGTTTTGCTGTTTCATTGTGTGTATTGTGTGGGAAAGAGAAAATTAGATTGTTTTGAATTGATGTTGGATACATGGTGTAAGCAATTGATGTTTATGTGGTGGTACAATTGCTTAGAGTCAATTTACATGCAACACATTAAAGGGTAAACTGTTTGGTAATAATACTTGCCTTTTGCAGATTGATTGGTGTACAAGACCTCCTGGAAGATGTTCCAGGCCGGTCCCGCCGAGACTCCCACTCCGGACCCTCTGACCTTAAATCTTTTATGAAAGGTGTCACAGGAAAATCGTCAAAGTCCTACTCTGTCAAAGACGAGATTTCTAGTAAGGAAACCATTGATTTTTTAATGATTTTTTTAACAGTAATTATGATGCTGACTTTTTGATTTGAGACAAGATTGTTATGTGTGTAAATGAATACCAGAAAATCATGAATATATAAGAGCTTGATTATAGTTTAGTGTTGAGTATGAGCCTTAACTTTTATAAGCATAATGATTTTGTTCTTTTAGTAACGTCCACATGTAAATATTTTTTCATCATTTTCTTGCAAGGTCACTTTCATTTACTTTAATCTCCTTTCTCAGACGAGGTAATGGCAGTACTAAAATTAGACAACAATAAAGTGGTTGGCCAAACAAGCTGGAAACCTTGCTCTCAGTCGGCTTGGGACCAGAGGTGAGTGATTCAGGGAAGCTCTTTTAAACCATCGCTGATGGGTAGATGAAATTTCCACTGCAGTTTTGTTTTTTGAATTGTCTCTACACTGAGAATGGCTCCATAATTGTTCAGCCACTAAGGAATCATGTGATTTCCCCTTTCCTTGGGCTTTTGAGAAAAGTATACATTTTTTCTAATGATGTTAATATTGATATTGTTATTATTGTTATTGACATTATGATTATTATCATATTTAAAATGCTAATAGAGATAAAAATAATTATATATCTGAAAATGAAGGGAAAGGGTTAAGAAGTGGGATAGTCAAAACTAGTTATATACTTCTTGGTGACAAAGCTCTTGTGGAGCCTTTTATGTGTAAACACAATTACAAAACTAAACTCACAGCATACAGGCCATGTACGGCTACACAGAAAAATATCCTCAGAAAATCAGGCTAAACATTCTGGTATAAGCAACAATACTTTCTTAAATATAGTTGTTAACACAGCAAAAATATTGGTATCCCTTGGATGTGTGTGGCTTATCTGAATATTGCAAGGCATATTCCATCCCCTATGGGAATAAAATCATCATCTCACAGTGCATCCATAGGAGTTCCAGAATAACTATTTGGGACATAAATCAGAACAAGACAAATTCGAAACCCGAAATACCAACCCTTCTGTAACATAAGGTTCTGTTCCTTATTGAATGTTTTGATACCCCTCCTAACTATAATTTTCTGTGTAGCTGTACATATGTTCCATTCCTGTTGACACTGAATTAAAACAGATTCAGCTGCTTGTTAAAGAAATGGGTGTGATATTTATAAAGGCTTTTGATATAAGACCAAAATTATTTCACAGATTTGTGTATATTTGTATATATTTTTATGCATTTTTATGTCACAACCAGTTTCTAAAATTCAATTATGATATTGATTAGTTTACGTTTTGTAATCATAAGGATAACTTTTATTACACAGATTAGTTAGTCTTTTCTCTCTTGGAGTTTCCCAGTGGTAGGGACTAATTTTGGATAAGAAAAACATTTACTTTCTCATTTATCTTATAGTAGGTAAATAATAAATGATGATATCTATACTCTAAAATTACACTGAGAATAATGTATATACTTTTCCTTCCACAGATTTAGCATTGATTTAGATAAGTCCAGAGATTTAGAGATTGATATTTACTGGCGAGATTGGCGGTCGCTATGTGCAGTAAAGTTCCTACGACTGGAAGAGTTCATTGATGATGTTAGACATGGCATGGCACTCCAGCTAGAACCAAAGGGACTTCTTTTTACTGAGGTGAGTTCTTCATGTGGCATATTTGTGCAGAATTCACCTGTCGTAAAAGAAGCTTTTGCATCACTTTTTTTAATAACTTTATTCAGCTGGACTTTGGGTCTCTAATTTTTTATTCAAGACTTTTAGGGCCGTACTTTAAAAACTTTCGCTAGTGCTGGCGTTTGCCTGGCGAAGCTTCGCCAGGCGAACCTCTAAGTGAGGGAGGCCTTACTTTCAAACCCAACGTTCGCCAGGCGCTAACATCTTGCATTCCCGCTAAATGTAGCGCAAATTTGTTTACATCTGCAGTGCACATAACATAACCTAAACTTAATTATTAACCTGGAGAGAAGACGAAAATGTTTCCGCAATAGTCTCACTTTATACTATAACAAAGGAGTTAAAATTTAACTTTATGCTATAACAAAGAAGTTGAAAATATCTTTATACTATAACAAAATTAACTTTATACTTTATGCTATACTACACTTTATACTATAACAAGGTTAAATTTATGGCCCGTACTTTTAAAACCTTTTGCTTTTTCTCGCGTTTTTTTTTTCATTCGCCGAAGCGCTAGATTTATCAGGAATCCAAGATGTTAGTGCCTGGCGATCCCTTTCGTTCGCCAGGCCTGGCGAACACCTGCCTTAGTTTAAAAGTAAGGCCTCCCTCACTCAGATGTTCGCCTGGCGAAGCTTCGCCAGGCATTGGCGAAAGGTTTTAAAAGTACTTTATACTATACTATATCAACCTTATACTTTTATACAAAAAATAACTTTATACTTTAACAAGAGTTTAAAAATTACTATTTTACTATTCCTAACTGATGTAAGATATTGAACTGTAGGCCTACAAGGGTATCATTAAAGACGCCTCATTATAGGGCGGTGGAGCACTACAGCTCTGTTTCTATAGCCAAAAGTAAACATGCCGCCATAAAAAACACTTCTGGTAACATTTGTGAATAGAACATTATCCTTACAACCAAAATAACAACAACCTAAATCTAAATCAGTCATCTCGGGGTGGGGGGTAGGGGTAGGGGGGTAGGAAAACAGCTTATGTCTTGAGCTCTCGCCTGGAACATCGAAGGTCTTGAAAAAAATACGTATATACGTTATTTCATAACAAATTATGATTTTAAGATATTTTATAATTTCAATGTGATTCCTACATCCTATCATACACAAATATGTTACTAATTTATAATTTGAAAGCAAGAAAATGGTATTCAGACAGCTCTCTTCGCCAGGCTGTTCCAATATGATCTTTCGCCAGCCCTGGCGAACGTTCGCCAGGCATGATTTTAAAAGTACGAAATTCCGGATCGCCCGGCGAAACCCTTCGCCAGCCCTGGCGAAGGGTTTTTAAAGTACGGGCCTTACTCTACAGTCAGTGGGGCAAGAAATTAGTGAACAGTTCTTTTCTATTTTGTGCTTGATCTAATATGTTGTTTCCTTTTGAACTGTTCATCTTTACATTATATCTTAAGACACCTTCAGTCTGTGTTACCAATCAGTCTTTTATTTTATGTTAATTAATTCAGCTTACATGCAGGTTGTGACATCTATCTAGAAATATTGACAATCATACAGTCAGGCTTGTTATAATGTAGAGTTATTTTTTGTGATTTTGAGAATTCTTTGGACGGCAGATAATGAATTGATAGTTGTCCTGATATCTTCAACTAGTATCTGACATTCTTTCTTACTTGTAAGAAAAGTTTCATTTTCAGAACCAAATTAACTTTGCTTATAAAAAAGTAGCATTGCAAAAAATGAGCATCAATATATACTTTTTAATTTTTCTTTCAATAGATCAAATTCCTGAATCCTATGATCTCGCGCAAGCCCAAGCTGCAGCGACAAAAGAAGCTGTTCATGCAGAAGGGAAAGGTGCTGCGACCCAATCAAATGAACATCAATGTAGCCGCTTGGGGGAGACTCATTAAAAATATTCAACCCAGCCATGAGCCTGTCCATCTCTCGTACTCAGGAGGTCACACGGGAGCCATTACAAGTGCAAGCTCTGCCACGCCCATCACACCTGGTGAGTTGCAAGGGGAAAAAGTGTGTGTGTGTGTTTGTCTTTTGCTGTGATTTTGTGTGTGTCATGTTAAAAGTGTGGACTTCTTTCCCTAACTTCAGATTGTTCTGTTAATAAGCAAAAATATGAATTACACATTCCTTGCTACTGAAGCCAAAAAGCCTGTTTGCGTGAAATTGATTGTAATGATTTTGTTTGGACTCGTCATGTTAGAGTAGTAGACAAGTAGTCTCCAGAATGGGTTTGAGATACGAAAGGCATCCACTTAAGCTGATGGGTTCTACATACCTCTTAAAAACTGCTTTAAAAGAAGGCACAGTCCTATCCCATGTGAGCATAAAACTGATATTAAATTTAATGATAACCTTTAATCCAAAGGTTCCATATATACTCAATGCATTGAAAATATATTGGAGTACTACTGAGGTGCTTTTGCTCTGTAAATATTTGCTGCTAAGAAAAAGTTTCAGAACTATTCATCATGTCGGAAAGATGGAACAGATGAATGTTAGCAAACCATTTTTGTTATCACTCTTATTTATTTGCCTTTGAATAAAACATTTATATATATATTTGAAAAAGGATTTGATAAGACCTCCATGGGAAAACAGTGATCCTGAGGATTTGAAAAAAGTTAGATATATTTTTGTGTTTCTATGATTTAACTTTCAAATTATACTATTTGTTAAAATGATGTTAGCTCTTTCAGTTTTATGTTTTCACATGACTCTGTTTGATGATAAAGAGGAATGGAAGTGTGAATGAATAGACCTTGCAGTGTTATTTTGAAAATATGTCTATTGTAGGTTACTTTGGAGATATTGAAGTTGGCATTTTAATTACTTGTTAATTATTATTATTTTTCCAGACTAACACAGTTGTGTCAGAAACTCTAGGGTTATTTTTTTTCTTTAATTGGTTATTGTGTGTGTTACTATCCAGCCAAATGAAAAGTAGGGCAAGGTTTTATTTTTATTTTTTAAAAGTTAATCGAAATGAGTAGTATTTTGGTTCCTGTAGACACTTTCAGGTGCAACATCCGTTGTTGCTCTCCCCTTGCAGGTCCCAGAACGGTTCCTACTCGACTGGACTTTGATAGCGAGAAGACTCCCGGAGAAGTGTGTCAACATCGCCCACTGGCTCTGTCAGAGGTGCGGCCGCTCAACATGGGGGTGGTATCGCCTCCCCAAGTTCCCGCTCACCTGGAGTCTCCCTCTGTGGCTCCTCCTCCTCCTTCCATTACTTTTGGTGCCCCAACACAAACCCAGCAGCTTCCTTCCACACCTGCACTTATGACTGTATACCCAACCCCTCATGGCTCAGTCTATGACGAACCTGCACATGGCACGCCATCCACTCCTGCTCACCATAGTGTCTTCCCAGTCACACAGACACCCACCATCCACCCTGCTCACTCCATCACTGTCCAGGTAAGAACACCGGGGACATCCTGTGCATACTCGCTGTTGGGGAACTGAAGGACATCCTCTGGCAGAATCCTGTTGTAAACATGGAAAGATAGGTTATTTTTTTATATCTGTTTGTTTTTTATTATTATTATGGTTATTTTTTTATTATTATTATTATATATATATATATTTTTTACAGTGAAGTCCTTCAGTTCTCTGACATGTTCTTCATCCATAATTCGACAGCTGTGTTGACATTCAGATAATTGTTTTATGTAGAGAACCTCTGTCTTAGAAAGTCACATTTTTATAGAACTAGCTTTTTATTGCACTGTTCACAGTAGAATAGCTTACCTATCGTTATCCTTGCTTTTACAGTTCACAATTTACTCTATATTCACGCAGTAGAAGTTATATTCGAATATCTTAATAATGAAACCTTTATTCACTTATCATGTATGGCCTTTTATAATAATGCAATGTTTTTCTCTGCAACTTATGCAGGTGGCTAAAAGGCCTACATCAACACCTCCCCCACCGCCTCCAAGGCCACATTCTGGCACTGTCACCATCTCCGTACCAGCATCACCTGTAGAATCCGACGTTAAGGTAGGTGCCATTGTATAATATTTTTGGTGTGAA